GCTGGCTCAATATCCCCTTTCTCTCCCCCCGTCCCCCTCCCCCTCCCACCATCCATCTCTCTGCCCGCGATGTACGGCTTGGACTCATGTATGACAGATGGATGGGGACGATTGACGCGGATGCCGCCGGTTGACACGGCTGCTGACGGTTGCGATGCCCGGTGTGGCGGTGGCGGTGGCGGTGGCGGTGGCGGTGGCGGTGGCGGTGGCGGTGGCGGTGGCGGTGGCGGACAGTACCCTGAGGGTGCCCGGGTGGTCGACGAGGTGGGGCATGCTGTCGAGGTCTATCCGTCGCTCCTGGCCAGAGCCGGGCAGTATGTCGACGGCAGTACGGTGAGCGAAGTGGCGGTGCCGATGGTCTGTCTCACGGGTACCGTGCCCATTGTTTACCAGGGCCAGCGGTACAACCTGCCAATCACTCTCTGGCTCCGGCACGACTACCCGTACTCACCGCCCGAGACGTACATCACCCCGGCGCCCAACATGACCTTCAAGGTCGGCCACCCGCACGTCGATCTTGCTGGCCGCTGTCGCCTTGAGTACCTCGACCAGTGGAACGGTGATAATGGCTCATCGCTCGTCGCGCTTCTCGTCCACATGTCCGATGTGTACTCGATCGACCCGCCGCTGTACTCCAAGCCGCCCGAGCCTGCAACTGCGCCTGCACTGGCGTTCACTCTACCTATATCTCATGCGAGTCCCAATGTCAGTGTTGGAGGCCCGCCGCCGATGCCACCTCCACCAGCGTTTGACGATCGCCCGGCACCACCGGCTTATGACGAGCCTCCACCTGTTGCCGCTGCCAACGCCGACGCCGACGCCGTCGATGCTGCCGACGTTGCGCATGCTACCCGTGAGCAGGAGCAGGAGCAGGAGGCTGCGATTATGCTTGAGTCGCTGCAGAGCGCGGTGCGCGAAAAGCTGACGCGTGCGCTGCAGACGTTTGAGCTCGAGGCGAACCATGACGTGGCGCGGCTCTGCGATCTGGAGAGCAGGTTCAAGGATGGGCGGAGCCAGCTGGAGACCGGTATTATGCGCTTGGAGGCCGAACTGGCGGCAACCCGGCAAGCGTGCCATATGATTGCACGTACCACCGACGAGGCGCAGGCCGTGATCGAGACTGAGCTCGCACGCCCGCCGTACAGCGTCGATGCCGACATCGTCCCGGCCACACCGCGCCAACAGCAGCTGCTGGACGCCGTGGCAGAGAACATGGCCATCGAGGACGCATTTTACTTTCTCAACCGCGCCCTACAAACTGGCATCATCCCGCTTCCGCAATTTCTCAAGGAGGTTCGCGTTCTCGCGCGTTCTCAGTTTCTTGCGCGTGCCGTCCTTAATCGGCTGCACCGGTAGGTGTGCCCAGCTCGGGGACTAGCCCGGTCAGGGACCAAAGGAGGTGTTGATGTCGAATGAGTACAACGAGTGAGGTCATAATGAAGCCGAGGATCCGAGCAGGTCGTCCAGCGAGTTGCTCCCATCATCGCTCTCGTCATCGCTCCCTGAATCGTCGTCATCGCTCTCGTCATCGCTCCCTGAATCGTCGTCATCGCTCCCTGGATCCTCGTCATCGACACCGGCATTGCTCCCTACGTTGTCTTTGTCGACGACGCCTCCATCACCGCCATCGCCTTCGTCACGAACCCCTTCACCGTCCGCAACGACACGGCGCCTTGCCTTGGCCAGCGGCACATGCGTTCGCGCCTCGACCGACTCATGCAGCAGCGGGACAAGCGCGGCATTGGCAGCGACGACACTCGGCGTCTCCAGATGAGTATTGAGGGCAGCAAGCGAGGCCCAAGACTCAATCACCGTATACTGCGGCCGCTCCAGCCCCGGGCCACCCACCACGCGCAAGATCTCGTACCGGGTGCACCCGGCCTGCCCCGCCGCTGCCTGAGCGACTTGACCCAGCACAGCCTCAAAGGCCACTACCTCCTCGGTACTCCGCAGCGTAAAGGTCAGCGTCAGCGTCAGTGCATGATGCGTATCCCGGCCCTTCCCTCGTCCCGTCCGCCGCCGTCCACGTCGTCGTCCCATACCACACCGTCCAAGTGAGGTGATGCCGGTGCCCGTGGGCGAACGGAGCGGCATGCTCTTCTCCATCGCCCTTCTTCCCCAGACCGCCAGCCCTCCATGCAGCCCTCCATCTCCCATACCCTCACTCATCACACAATCCCTCCTCCAGCCTCTAACCCCACATCCAACTGGTTCCACCATCGTCTTTGGTGTCTATACACGCGGCGGGCGCCATGATCAGCAGCAGTCACCCCTCCCCCCCCCCCCCCCCCCCCGCGTCAGCCAGCGAGGCCACCGAGACAGACAACTTCCCCTGCTCACACTCCTCTCCACTCTCTTCACATCTCTGTGCGGTTAGTTATTGTGGACGGTGATGGATCCGGTGGTCGAAGACGTCGACGATGAGCATGGCGCAAGCGAGCAGCTGGCGGTCGTGACCTATGCTGGCGGGGCCGGGGCTGAGTCAGCCGCGGGCAGGGCCGTGGTGGAGCGAATCGATCCTGAGACCGGCGAGGTGCTGGCTTGGACGGGGGAGCCGTATCCACTTGATCCACAGTGGGATGGCCGTCTGCGCAACTTGGTGCTCTCTAGGTACATGCTGGCCGCCACGTCGGCCCGGCTCTCGACGTTGGGCGGGGCGTACTCAGCCCTGCGCCGGACTCCGCAGGCGATGCAGCTCGCTCTGACCCAGCACAACGTTGCCCGCCAGCTCGGTCATCCGGGGCTAGAGGCACGGACACTGCTGTTTCTTGCCTACGGCTGTATGCAGATCGAGCGGTGGGATGATGCCAAGCGGCTGATGGACATTGTCGACGCCCGTGCCGTCGAGCACAACGACCCTGATCTGGCCGCCGTCGTCTTTGCTGCTCGCTATCGCATGGCCGAGCTCCGCGGAAAGCCGCTGCCGACCCAGCCTGTCCTAGCCCCACCGTAGGCGATTGGTGGCAGCTTGTGAGATTTATGCTCAGGCGTGGAGGCCCCAGCGTGAGACAAAGATGAGCCGGAGATGGACCGCGCCTTGCGCCACCTCGTCGAGTTGAAAGGCGCGCTCGAGGACGTGACCCTCGATGCCAGCCGAGACGGCCGAGACCTGGATTTTGACCGAGCCGGCTGGGGTGGCGGTCGTCTTTTTCTTCTTCCGCCCAGTCTTCTGGAAGAGGTCAACGCGCAAGACATCGCTCCGCCAGTCGTCGACGCGCAGCGTCAGCTTGTGGTCCCACACCGGCTTGTTGCCATTGGCCTTGGACGAGACGGCGGTGGACTCGGACTCGTGGCCGACCGACGCCACGGCCCACAGCTGCGATGAGGCCCATGCGAGCGCCGTCGCCTTTTTGATGTGACAGAAGAGGATGCCTGAGTACTTCTCGCTCGGCTCGACGCCGCCTGGCGGAAGCCGGAACTCTGGGTGGCCCCAGAACGGGCACCACTGCACCGAGTACGTCACTGAACCCTTTTTGGCGAGCTGTAGCGGCTCTGAAACCCGGACCGTCTGATAAGCGGTGAGCGAGAAGATGTCAAACTCTGAGCGCCCGAGCAGGTCGTCCGAGTTGATGCCGCGGTCCGAGTCGAAGATGTCGACGTACATGCGCTTGCCGGCAATGTCTGGCACAGCAAACTCGAGCCGCTCCTCCCACACCGGTGAGGTCTTGTGCTTGATGACTCGCGTCCGCTGCGGCTTGTTCACGCCGTCGATAGAGATCGAGGCGTACGGGTCAGACGAGAAAAAGTCGGCTTTGCGCAAGCTAGTCGCCGAGTGGACGACGACGACCACAGCGCCGCGCGGTACAAAGTCGTTGATGAACGCCCGCTCGACCTCGACTGTCGAGTACAGCTCCTTGATGATCTTCTGCGGCCAGACCATGGTCGCCACCACGTGCTGCCGGATAAACTTGTTGAGCCAGGCCGATACGCCCGGCAGGTGGGTGACGCTCACCGCGCCGGCCGAGAGGTTAAAGTCGACGACGGGCTTTTTGGCAAACGAGACCGAGATGGCTCCAAAGCCAGGAAGCTGCTGCATGAGCGGCTTGAGCCCGATGCGGAACGTGCCGTACAGCTGAAAGTCGGTGAACCGGACCGTGAGCGGTACGCCCTTGGCTTTGAGCCACAGCGCGAGGTCTGGATTGCCGGCCCACCGAAAGTCGAGGTCAAGGAGCACCTCCTCGGCCTCCGAGTCGTGGATCTCGAGCCCGGTGAGGAGGAACGGAATGGTGCCAAAATCGCACGAGGCAAAGCCTACCTCGCTCACCACCGATGGGCGCTTCTCAAACAGCGGCGTCACCTTTTCGACGATCGCGTCCTCGATCGCAACATGGAGGTACGGCCACATTTTCTCCACAATGATGTTGAGCCACTCGACTTGGTGCACGTGTGGCGACGAGACCCACGGCGGGAGGATGCGGTCGACGGCGTTTGGAATGTTGAGCAGTGCCTGCATGATCGGATCGTCGAACGCGAGGTTGCGGAAGGCGCGCATGGCAAAGACCTCCATCTTGCGCTCCCGGATCTCCCGCCGGCGCATCTCGGTGAGGAACCACGCCCCGGCACCCAGAATGGCCCACGAAATACCAAAGTGGAACCAGCCCATGATCTGGAAGAGCATAAAGAAGGCCGCGGTGTAGCCAAAATCGTAGATGCGATCGTGGATGAGGCCCTGCGAGTACTTGGAGTAGAGGACCGAGAACGCGAGCTCCTCCGCCACCCGAGCACCACCGCGCCGCGAGGTGGCGACACCAAACCACCCGTCAAATACCCGTCGGATCCACAGCCGCCGCTGTACCGCCACATCAGAAATGCCCTCGTGGGCGGGCATCTCGGCCAGGGCCGGGCAGCTGCCGCTGTCAAGCTCGGCGTTGGCGTGAGGAACGGCCTCAAAGTGTGCATCGCTTCGGCCTACCGCACCGACGTCGAGCGCGGCGCCGACATCGTCCCAGCTCACGCCGGTCCTCGTCGCCTTGCGCTGTGTTATCTTGAGCGGAGTGGCCAGTGAATGCAGGTCAAGGCCGTCGTCCGAGACATCCCAGAGAGCGTCGGATGAAAAGCCCGAGCCCGAGCCGGCGCTCGATGCCTCGTCGCTCTCGTCGCGAACGGAGCTGGCTTCTGCCGAGTCGAAGAGCATCGACCGTGAGAAAGACGCCGACATGGCGAGCGCGTCCAAGTAGTCGTCGATTGAGCGATGCAGGCCTACCGAGGCCTCTGTCGTTGTCAAGGATGCGGCTGACGCCGTCTCGATAACATCAAGCGCGCCATCGAGCGCCTCGGGCGCTTCAAAGTAGATTACATACGAGGTGCCCGAGTGTAGCATGAGGGCTATGCCGTCGTGGGCAATGCGCCGAATTTCCGACAGCTCGCCCCACGACAGGCTTTGCAAGGACAGCCAGCCGTTGTCGCCGTGGACAAGTTCGTGAACAGTGAACTCGACCGGGGCCTGGCCCCTGCCATGGGAAATAATGGCGCCGACACCGGCGTCATTGTCATCGGATCCCTCGCCTGCCGACGACAGCTCGGACAAGTCGCCAAACGCCGATTTGCTCGGCGATAGCGCGCCGTCTGCGCCAGAGCCGTCGCCGTTGTCGTCGTCGGACCACTCGACTGACGACGGGCCCGAGTCTGGAGCAGTGACGGAGAGCATCGGCGGCACAGGAGTCGGATCTGGCGAGCTTGCGGTCGACTTGTGCGACTTGGACGACTTGCGGAGCTTGCGGATGCGGAGCTTGCGCGAGGAGCGGGTCTGCTTCTTGGACGCCTTGGCGATGGCACGGTCAGCGGCGGTCCGGCGGCGCTGGGCTTCGCGGATGGTGGCGGCAGCTGAGACCGGTGAGAGCAGGCGCGAGGTGTTGACGCGCTGGAGGGTGAGGCCGGTCGAAGTGACGACGAGGCGCTTGTCAAATGGGCCTTCTGGCTGGAGGGCGACGGCAAATGGCTTACGGGCAGAGTCCAGTTCGGCCTCGACCAGCTTGCGAAGGAGGCGGACAATGGTCTTGCCGACAGCGTAGGCGACGTGGAATATGACAGCAACGAGATTGTCGGCGGCCATGTAACGGATGGAGAGCGACGAGCCGACGTGGTGGACCCGATGGAGGTTGGAGAGGGGGATGTCGAGAGCGGGCACAAGGCCGTTGCGGGCAGAGCGCCCGACGTCAAAGAGGCGGAGACCCGAAGCGGCCACGCGAATGACCTGGGCGCGCGAGGCCGAGGCATCAGCCCAGCCGGCAAAGTCGTGGACGTAGTCAGGGCGGCAGCAATAGCCGAGGCGAGGGCGCGCATCCAGGCCTGGGCCTCCTCGGGCGAGTCGGCCTTGAACAGCCAAAGCGAAGCAGCATCCACGCCGGCGATCTCGGATCCGAGTTCGAATCGCGCCGGATGCGATCGATGGAAGGCAGCGCGAGCGCGAGTGAGCGGGAGAACGGCCCGGAGCTTGCCGCCGGCTTTTGATGCCACCTGCAGAGCCTGGGTGGTCAGCACCACATAGCCACGCTTGAACCGTTTGAACCGCTTGTTGCGTGCCGGCTTGTGGCGCATCTTTCCCTCACGTAGTACCTGTGGCAGTAGTGGTGAGGTAGTGGGAGGGGGAGGGGGGAAGGGAGGGGACATGGAGTGCGCGTTACGTACCTGGAGGTTTGGGGAGGACATGGCGCGGGAGGGAGGCGCAGTGGGCGAGGCTTCGCAGGGCGATGGAGGGGGTTGAAGGAAGGGGAAGGGATGGAGAGGAAGCGAGTGACAATGGGGGCAGTGGGATGGGTGCGATGTGGGTGGAGAGGGGCGTGGTGGGGTGTCAGCGTCTGCTGCGGAAGGGGAGTGGGAGTGAAGCACCCGCGTGGGTTTGACAGTTGAGTTGGAAGGGACAACGTGGGCTGTCAGCGCATCAGCACGGCCATGGTCACCTCGGTCGCAAGACGATCAGGGGGCATCGAGAGGTTTAGTTGACAAAGCGATCGCAGTCGTTGACCTTCCAGGTGACCTGGTCGTCAGCTGAGAGCGTGCCCCAGGTTTGGTTGGGGACGACGCCGTGGCTTGAGGCGAGCTTGCGGCAGGCGGCGGGACGTTCTGAATCGGGCAGCATTTTGGCGAGGGCATCGTCGCCAAGGACGGTGTGGACAAAGTTGTCGTTGTTGTAGGCGTCGATGACGTCTTGTTCGATATCGTGTTCCTCCATCCAGGCGACGATGCGCTTCTTGCCGTGCTCGAGAGCTTCGGCAAGCTTGGGCTGGTTGGCAAAGTCGACCTGGTAGCGGGTGCCGTGGTTGTCGGTATGGTGGATGATTTCGGCCGAGTTGACCTTGACGGTCCGGCTGGCGCCGTAGACGCGCGAGATCCAGTCGTCCATCCACCAGTCGACGAGGGCAGGCGGGTAGTATGTCTCGAAGATGTCGAGGTGTGTGCGGTGAACAAAGTCGTGGGTGAGGATAGCGGTGTTGCCCTGCTTGCACAGCGGGCCGACGGCGCCATATGGCTGGCCAAGGGCGAGGAGGGTGGTGGTAAAGTCGACGGCCCATGGGGCGACGAACTCTGAGTCGTCGTTGATACGGTAGAACCACTCGGCGCCAAAGTCTGCGGCAGCGCGGAGCATGACGTTGAAGGCCGGGCCGGGCTTGCGCTGAGTGTTGGTGAACGAGACCATAAGCAGTTGGACCTCGATGTCTGCAGCAGCAAGCGGGTGAGCAATGCGGGAGTTGAACCAGTCCTCGATGGCGGCATACGTGCCGTCGTCCTCGTAGAACGCGTCGCCCACGTCGTGAATGATGACGACGCGGTAGCGGAAGCCTGGTTCGACCGTCCGGGCCAGCGACGGCAGCATGAGCGAGAAGAGCGAGAGTGACGAGAGCGACGTCGGGTTGATGCCACGGGTGGTCGACGAGACGCAGACTGCAATCCAGTCAGGGCCCGGCTCGATGTCGGTGGCGGCGTCTTCGGTGTTGATGTGGATGGTGTACGAGAGGTCAACACCCGATGGCGTGGTGTATTCGACGGTACCCTGGCCGACATGCTTGGCGGTGGGGAACATCTTGCCACGGGCAAGGATGGGTTTTGCTGCCCCGTTGTTAGTGCCGTGATCGTGGACGGTGTGCGTCTCGCCGTCCTTGTGGTCGCCATCGTGGCTGTGGCCATCGCCCTCACCCTCGCCATGGCCAGAACCGTGACCAGAATCGAGCGATGTAGTTGCAGCTCCATGGCCGTCACCATCGCCATCGCCATCGTGACTGTGGCCCTTGTCACCATGGAGCTTGTGCTCGAGCTCCAGGACGGCGTCGCAGCGAAAGACGAGCCAGTCAGCGATGGCGTTCTCGACGTTTGCGAGGTCGCCAAACGGGGTGGCCTGGATGCGGGCACAGGCAGCGACCTGCGTTGGTGTCACCTCGTGCTTGCCCAACGAAACGTGTGGCGTGTCGCGGAACTCCTCCAGCAGCCGCTCCAGGCGAGAGAGCGCCTTCGGCTGGCTCCGCTGCTGGAGCATGGGCGGGTCGCGACGGACGGACGAGAGGGCCATATGTGAGGTGAGGAGCAGTAGGGCACCAATGGCCACAAACCCACCCAAGAGAATGGTGCGGTTGTTCCACCCTGGGCTTCTACTGCCTGCCATACTGTGCGGAGAAGGGTGAGCGAGAGCGGTGGTGTCTGCCATGGCTGGCGACGATGCCACGTTGCGAGCGGCGGCCCAGAGGGGGGGGGGGGGCTAGGTAGGGAGTGGATGATGTGGATGTGGATGTGGATGTGGATGTGGATGTGGATGTGGATGTGGATGTGGATGTGGATGTGGATGTGGATGTGGATGTGGATGTGGATGTGGATGTGGATGTGGATGTGGATGTGGATGTGGATGTGGATGTGGATGTGGATGTGGATGTGGATGTGGATGTGGATGTGGATGTGGATGTGGATGTGGATGTGGATGTGGATGTGGATGTGGACGTGGATGTGGATGTGGATGTGGATGCATGTGCTATCGTCAGGTGGTGGCTAGTGGCCGGGCGAGATGACAACGGATTTGTCCACGTGTCTCTGTCGGCAAGTAGGTGGTGTGGGCAATGCGCAGAGTAGGGGGACGGATGCCGAAACCTGAGAAGCATCGGATGACGCTAGAAGAGGCCATTGCAGCGGGAGAGGTGGCGCGAGCGCTGGCGATGGTGGCTTCTGAGGTGCGCCCGCCACGGGCGGCGGCCGAGGCTGGCAAGTTGGCGGTGAACGGGCGCGATGTGCGCGGTGAGACGCCGCTGCATGCGGTAGTGGCGGCGTTGGTAGAGGGTCGGTTGGGCATTTCTGGCGCGGTTGACCTTGTGGTTGCGCTTCGCATGGCAGGGGCCATGGTCAATGCCCGCGAGTGCATGCAGCGCAACACGCCGCTGCATGCGGCGCTCCTCGGTCGCGCACCCGGTGAGGTGCTCATGGCGCTTGCGGACGACGCGTATGCGGCGCACCCGCCAGACACGCTACTGGCAAGCGGGTCGGCGTACTCGGGTATCCGTCGCGAGTGGCATTCGACGTACGAGCTACACGCGTCGGCGGCCAACGCCGACGGCAAGTGCTACCTCCATCTCGCCGCCGAGATCAACGCTGTGGAGCTGGCGCACTACCTGCTCGACCGCTCGGAGCGGGGAGCGGTGGGCTCGGGTCATGCGCTAGACGTCAACTCCGTTGACCACGAGGGCTCGACGGCGCTCCACATAGCGGCACTCTTGGGGCGGAGCGCTATTGTCGAGCTCCTTGTAGCGCACCCGGACATCCAGCTCGACGTGTGCGATTCGTCGGGCTGGACTCCGCTGCACATGTCGACGGTTGGCGGGCACGCAGCGACAGTAGAAACGCTGCTAGTGGCAGGCTCTGATCTCTTCATCCGCACCCACGAGGGCTCTTCGGTCCTAGACTATTGTGCCGACGAGGACGATCCCGATGCTTGCGAGGTTTACGACGTCATGGCGCTCCATGCCGAGGAGCTCGGCTTTGATTTGGCCGCTGAGATGGAAGCCGAGGCAGCAGCCGAAGAAGCCGCCGAGGCCGATGCCAATGCCGAGGCTGAGGCCGGGTGGGGCGACGAGGGCGACGAGTGGGATGACGACGACGGCAGAGAAGACCAAGTGTTTGTGACACAGGCGCGAGGCAACGGTGGCACTGATGAACGCCACCGGGTTCGCGATAACGAACGTAACCATGGTCGTGCTCGTGCGAGAGATGACCAGAAGCGTGGCGACCGTGACCGTGCAAGGAATGATGACAAGCACAGCAGCCGGGACCGTGATCGTATTCGGGACGAGAAGCGCAGCGACGGTGACGATAGGGGCAGCGACCGTGACTGTGACCGTGCAAGGGATGATGACAAGCGCCGCGATCGGGACCGTGATCGCGCACGGGACAAGAGGCACAGCGACCGTGACGATAAGGGCAGCGATCGGGACCGTGATCGTCCAAGGGATGATGACGGGCATAGCGACCGTGACCGTGACCGTGCAAGGAATGATGATAAGCGCAGCAGTCGGGACCGTGATCGCGCACGGGACAAGAGGCACAGCGACCGTGACGATAACCGCAGCGACCATGACCGTGACCGTGCAAGGAATGATGACAAGCGCGGCGACCATGACCGTGGTCGGGCCAAGAGCGACAACAAGCATAGCGACCGTGACCGTGACCGTGCAAGGAATGATGACAAGCGCGGCAGTCGGGACCGTGATCGCGCACGGGACAAGAGGCACAACGACCGTGACGATAAGAGCAGCGATCGGGACCGTGATCGCGCACGGGACAAGAGGCACAACGACCGTGACGATAGGGGCAGCGACCGTGAACGTGACCGTGCAAGGAATGATGACAAGCGCAGAAGTCGGGACCGTGATCGCGCACGGGACAAGAGGCACAGCGACCGTGACGATAACCGCAGCGATCGGGACCGTGATCGTCCAAGGGGTGATGACAAGCGCAGCGACCATGACCGTGGTCGGGCCAAGAGCGACAACAAGCATAGCGACCGTGACCGTGACCGTGCAAGGAATGATGACAAGCGCAGCAGTCGGGACCGTGACCGTACTCGGAACGAGAGGCGCAGCAACCGTGATCGTGACCGTGCAAGGGATGGCGATAAGCGCAACGCAAGAGACGATGCGCGCAAAGACCGCAACCGCAACGCTGATAGTGGCCGTAGCTCCCGCACAAAGTCTACCCGCCGCTGAAGCCCATCGTTCAATATGCATTCCATGGATACGGTTTGGGCACCGCCGAAACCTCATCGAGCGCTGCCATGTGCTCGCCCGAGAGCTCAAAGCTGGCCGCCTGGAGGTTGTCGAGCAGGTGCGCCATCTTGGACGCCCCGATGATCGGCGCAGTGACTCCCGGCTTCTGCATTAGCCATCGGAGCGAGACCTGTGACGGCGACCGCCCCAGCTCCGCCGCCACGCTCTTGACCTTGTCGACGACGTCAAACGTGTGCGCCGTGCCGACCGTCGAGTAGTCCATCACGTCCCAACCGACCTTCTCGGCCCATGCCACCCGCGAGCCGTCGGCCGGCGGCGCGTCGCGCGAGTACTTCCCGGCCAGCCACCCGCCAAGGAGCGGCGACCACGGAAGGATGCCCATTCCGGTCTCCACGCAATACGGGACGCAGTCCCACTCGATCGTCCGCGCGAGCAGATTGTACTTGGGCTGCAGCGAGACAAGCCGCGAGCTGAGACCGAGCCGCTCAGCAATCGCCGCTGCCTGCGCCATCTTGTACGCCGGAAAGTTGGAGACGCCCACGTAGCCCACCAGGCCTTGCCTGACAAGGTCGTCGAACGCCACCAGCGTCTCCTCCAGTGGCGTCTCGGGATCGACGTTGTGCGCCTGGTACAGATCGATCTTCTCCAGCTGCAGCCGCTTGAGCGACTCGCGCACTCCAGCCGCAATGTGCCGTCCGCCGAGGCCCTTGTCATTCGGTCCCTTGCCCATCTCACCCCACACCTTGGTCGCCACAACAAACTTGTCTGGCTCTTCCTGTGCCGCCAGCCACCGCCCGACAACCCGCTCGCTCGCCCCGGCACCGTAGATGTCCGCCGTATCGAGCGTAAAGCCGCCAGCCTCTGCGTACGCCGTCATCATCGCAAACGCATCATCTTGAGCCGCCGCAGGCATGCCCCACGAGTTGGTCTCGCTCTCGTCAAAGGTCATCGTCCCCAGCACCAGCTCCGACACCTTCAGCCCGCTCCGCCCCAGCCGACGCGCCTTGAGCACAACCTGCTCCTCGCCAACTGCTCCTGCCTCTGTCGTTGCTGCCATGTTCCACTCAAGTCGTGTGTCCTCTACCCCCTTCACAGCTCCGCCGCTGCTGTCGCCGCTCCTTTCTCCCACCCTCTCTCTGTCCCCGTCTGCTGCCCGTGCTGCACCCGACCAATGCACCACTCGCTGCACAGTACACCCTCCATCGATCACATCCAATTGTCACAACCAACACCACCAGAGGATATCAACACATACGCAGCAACTACCTCACCGCCCCCCCCCCTCCCCCCCCCTTCCCTGCCCCACTGAGCTCCCAGAAAAAAATGCCGCATGCCGCATGTCACTGCCCAAAGCTCGCTGCTCCGCACACTACTGACGTGACTCATCGCTCCCTTGTCGCCCCGTGCATGCATGCATACACTTACAACGCACACATAATGTACATGCGTTCCCCAAGAAAACCATAGTCCTATCAGATCATTCTCCCCCCCAAACCCTCCCCACATCCTCCCCTCCCAAGCCGATCACCCGCCTGCCAGCACGCACCTGTCGCAGCCTCGGCTCGATCTCCGGCCGCGCATGCACGCCGCGACGGAGCGAGTCGCAGAGCGGGTGCAGCGGCCACGGTTGGCAGCACTCACATGTGCGCTCGCTGGTGTTCAGCTTGTGGCCTCGCTCAATGTGGGCAACTCGACAAAGGTCTTTCGCGAGCTGGGCATGGCCGACAAGTGGGTGGCGGCCGCTTGGCTCGCTGGGCCCATCTCGGGCATGGTTGTCCAGCCGCTGGTCGGCGTCTGGTCCGATGGCTGTACTGCAAGCTGTGGTCGTCGCTCGCCGTTCATCGCTTCCGGTGCTCTGGTCATTGTGGCTGCGCTCACTCTCTTTGCCAATGCCGAGGACGTCGGCACCGCTGCTGGCGAGCACACCTCGTCGTGCGCCGGCTCGCGCTGCACAATGGCTCTCGCTGTCGCCGTCGCCGCCTTCTGCATCCTCGATCTTGCCTTCAACACCATCAAGGGGCCAGCACGAACGCTCTTGGTTGATCTCGTTCCACCAGAGCAGCAGTCTGAGGGCAACGCACTGTTTGGGACCATGACGGGCCTTGGCTCCATTTTTGGGTTTGCGCTCGGGGCGCTGCCGCTCACCGACGCGTTCCCGTTCATGGGTACCAATCTGCGGGCGCTGTACGCCCTTGGTGCGCTTGCTGTGCTCGTTGCCGTCGGCGTTACACTTGCCGCCGCCCGCGAGGAGCAGCACGCCCCGCCAGGCACACTCGATCATGTCGAGTCGTGCGACGGCGCGCTGAACGAAGCCTCACCGCTGCTCAACGACGCATTGGAGCTACCCAAGCCGCGACCGGCCACGTCGCGCTGGCGCAGATGGCGTGCTGCCCTTACCACGATGCCGCCCGTGCTTGGTCATGTCTTTGCCGTCCAGTGCTGCACGTGGTTCGCTTGGTTCACCACCTTTATCTACGCCACCTCGTGGGTAGGCTCGGTGGTATACGGCGGCGATCCGAACGCACCCGCTGGCTCGCATGCGCGCACACTGTACGACGACGGCGTGCGGGCTGGGAATCTCGGCCTGCTCATGCAGGCCCTGACCACCGTTGTCCTCACTCTGCCCGGTCCGTGGGGCGCTGCCCTGCTCCCGAGGCTGGTCACTACCGCCGGTACCAAATCGGTGTACGTTGCGGCCCACATTGTCCTTGCCCTCATTCTTGGTGCTGTCGGGCTGTTGACCCATCTCGCCCGAGCTGGCACACCGCGAACCACCCTCGTCCCGCTCGTCCTCCTCGCCTTTGGCAGCCTCGGTTTTCCATGGGCATGCACCATGACCCTCCCGTGGGCGCTCACCGCAGTCGCCATCGAGGCTTCTGACGACAAAGGCCTGCTCATGTCGATGATGAACCTCGCGCAGTGCCTGCCGGAAGTTGCTGCCGCCGGCGCCGGCTTTGCTCTCCTCTCACTGCCGAACTGGGCCAACCCGCTCGGCACCGGCGCCGTCATGACCCTCGGTGGCTTCATCGCCGCCATCGGTGCAGCTCTCATCGCCTACCTTCGCCTCGGCGACAACGCCGCGTTCGAATCACCCCGCTAGCTGTAGCCCCAGCTAGCCACAAGCCTACCACCGCCAGAAAAAAAGTGCACTGTGCGACACGCACGCCGTGCTGCCGCCTTCTCCCCTCCCCTCCCCTCCCAACACCGTCCGCAACCCCCCTCCACCCGACCCACCCTCATCCCGACCATGTTCCGCTCGCTTACTCGCCTCATCCCGACAAGTGCTCGTGCTGCAGCTGCAGCTGTTGCGGTTGTCGCAGCTGCTGCGGCGGCGACGGCGAGCATGAGCCGGGCCGAGGATGACATTGTGGAGGTGGCAATCGCGCCGGTGTCGGCGGCAGGGCGGCGGCAGCAGCGGATGTACCATGGCAAGGCATTCCCGCTGGTGGTTACGTTGCCTGGATTCACCGATGTGGCGGCGATGAAGGCGGCGCTGGCCAAGAACAAGGACTTGCTGCTCGGCATGCTCGACACCCACGGCGCGGTGCTCTTCCGCGGCCTGCCGCTAGCCGATGCGCCGGACTTTATGGCCTTCCTCGAGCCGTTCGACTTTGAGTACGGCGACTACATCGGCGGTGGTGGCCCGCGGACCGCCGTCCTGGGGCCCATCCACAACTCGACCTTTACTCCCGCCGATCGTCATATCCCGTTCCACCACGAGCTGGCGTACCTGACCAAGTACCCGACCAAGCTTGCCTTCTTCTGCCAGACCAAGCCACAGAAGAACGGCGAGACGCCGATTCTGCTCTCCACTAACCTCTACGAGCGCATCGCCGCCGAGCGCTCGGCCTTTGCTGCTCAGGTTGTTGACAAAGGCGTCATCTACACCAGGGTCATCGACTCGGCCGACGCCTCGGACGGCAAGCTCCAGCGCTCGTGGCAGGCTGCGTACGGGACCGACGACCGGGCAGTGGCCGAGGCTCGCGCGCGCGACACCGGTGCAGCCTCCATCGAGTGGCTTGAGTCGGGCGCCATGAGAGTTGTCTCGCACGCTCTGCCGGCCGCCCGTCGCGACCCGCGCGTCGGCGCCCGCACCTGGTTCAACGCCATCGTCCTCCTCCACCCGGCTGCGCAAGAGGCCGGAACCCAGGCGCCGTGGACGGTGACCTACGGCGACGGCTCGCCCATTGCCGATGACGACGTTCTTGCTGCCAAGGCTATTATGGACGAAGAGCGCATCGAGTTTGAGTGGCGCGAGGGCGACGTCCTCCTGGTCGACAACATGCTCGCCATGCACGCTCGCAACCCGTTCATCGGCCCTCGCCTCATCCTCGCCGCCATCGCCAACTAGCCAGCCCACCTCCCGTCTAAAACAACGCTGAATGCCACCATCGCGCTCCGCTACAAATCTCTTGGACACCCCCTCTCGCCGCATGGCTACATCCCCTTGCCTGCAAAAAGCTGCCTGAACTCGGCCGCCGCCGTTTGGCGCGACTGCCCCAACCCGCCACCTCCTTGGCCTTCCCCCACTGCCTCCCATTGACAGCCCGCCACTGGACCACCTCCCACCCCACCCCTCACTCCCAACTGCAATGAGTGGTACGCCGCCGCCCCTCCTCCCCCTGCCCCGCACCCTCTTCCCCCTCCCCCTACCACCCGTCCCCCCCCCCTCTCCGCCCCTCCTCACCCCCCCCCCCCCCACTCCCCGCACACAGAGCGCACCCCGACCCCTCCGCCTGGAGAGTACAACTCGCACTCGCGCTCGCGTTCGCGGGACCGCTCACCAGTTGCTGCTGCTAGCGAACATGCCCAGGCATACCCGCCTGCGCACGCCCAGGAGCAGCCCCTGCAGCAGCCGCAGCAGCAGCAGCAGCAGGCTCCGCCGCCGGCTGTGGAAGGCGATGCCGATGTCATCTCGCCCGAGCTGATGGCCGAGGTCGAGGCCGCACGTAAGCGCGAGCCTGACCCGAACGGCCGTACACCAGCGCCGCCGGCCAAGGTCATCGGCATCTTTGGCCTTGACTACTCGATCGATGAGGCTGCGCTCCGCGAGATCCTTGAGCCGCACGGCGCTGTCGTCAAGGCCAAGGTTGTCCGCAACTCGCAGACCAACACCTCGCGCGGCTTTGCCTTTGTCACCATGGCCTCTATCAACGACGCCGCCCGGGTCATCTCCAACATTAACGGAATCCAGGTTCGTGGCAAGACGATCCGCACCGACTTTTCCAAGACCCTGCGTGAGCACTCGCCCACTCCTGGCGAGTACCGCGGTCGGCCCACCGACCGCCGTGGCGGCCGCGGCGGCCGCCGCGGTTATGGCGACCGCGGCCGCCGCGGTGACCGCGGAGGCTACGGCGACCGCGGAGGCTACGGCGACCGCAGAGGCTACGATCGCGGAGGCGACCGTGGCGGATATGGCGACCGCGGCTACGATCGGCGCGGTGGCTACGGCGACCGCGGCGGCGACCGTGGTGGTGACCGCGGCGGCTACGGCGACCGCCGTGACCGTGACCGTGGCGGCGACCGCGGCGGCTACGGTGACCGCCGTGACCGTGACCGTGGCGGCGACCGCGGCGGCTACGGTGACCGCCGTGACCGTGACCGTGGCGGCGACCGCGGCGGCTACGACGACCGCCGTGATCGTGACCGTGGCAGCGACCGCCGCGACCGCGACCGTGGTGGCGACCGCGGCGGCTACGACGACCGCCGCGACCGCGACCGTGGCGGCGACCGCTATGGCGACGACCGCTACGGCTCGCCGGCCTCGTCAGCCCCGGCCTCGGCCCCGGCCTCGACCCTTCCGCCGCCAATGGATTAAGCCACGCCACAAGCCCCGTCCTTCTTGACTAGCCTGACCACAAGCCCAAGCCCAAGCGCCAAGCCCCCAAGCCCCCAAGCCCCCCAAGCCCAAGCTTCCGAGCCCAAGCTATGCTCTCTTCCCCCCCCCCCCCCACTCCCTCCACCCCCCAAGCACACACGCCCCACACCCCTCCTCTCTCTCCACGACGGCCGCGATCCGAAACCGGTCGTCCGCCTGTCCGTCCGTCCGTCCGTCCAACCATCCGTCCGTCAATCCGTCCGTCCCTCCATCGGTCCATCCATCCATCCATCCGCCGCCGCTGGTGATTGGCAAGGGGGCAGAGGAGGCAGTGGCGGGCGCTTACGAGACAGAGCCACACTCATCGCACGCGGCCTTTTGGAAAGAGGCAGCAGAGCACGGCAAAAGTAGCGCAGTAGCTCTTCCGCATAATATGCTCGGCCTGCGGGTGAGGAGCTCGCTGAGGGTGGCGCTCGCCGGCGCGACATGGCGGGGCGGAGTAGGGCGGACGGCGTCATCGGCGGCATCAGCGGCAGCAGAGGGGCGCAAGGAGAGCGGCGGAGGGGCGCAGAAGGGCGGCAAGGGCAGAGTTAGGGACAAGGGAAAAGCGGCAGGTCTGTACTACCGGAGGTATCCCAAGACAGTCCGCCAGGAGCCGCTGCCGGTGCCCGGGGCAGTCTCAGGCCGGCCGCAGTTTGCCTACTCGCCGGCGCTCGAGGCCGCGCTGCGCGGATCGGGGGCCGAGACTGAGGGCTACGAGTACCTCTCGCGGGTTCCGCTGACCAAGTCGGGGGTGGAGCAGATTGAGGTTGGCAGCGCGGAGCGGCAGGGCGTGGCGCAGCTGGCGCATGGGCTGGATGCAGTGGTGGAGCACCCGGGCAAGCTCTTCCCGCTTGTCAACAAGGCGACGGGCAAGCACATGTTTGATCCGTGGCTGGAGAACATCCACTCGCCGGACGACATTGACTTTGACGCCATTCCGCCGTTTGTCTCGACGTCTGCTGACGAGGACCTGCACGCGACGGCCAAGTCGCTCGACGGCATTGCCATCAAGGGCTCGACGTCGTCGATGACCTCGCTTCTGGCGCAGGCGTACTTTGCGCTCTCGGACTACAAGACGGTTGAGAGCTCGTTCCTCTCGGCCGAGTACTCGCGCCGGCAGATGTACCGCGACTTTACGTGGGGGCTCACCCACCCGGTGGCGGTCGCGCTCCGCCCACGCGACGGCATCTTTGCGGTCGACTCGCTCAAGACGGTCAGCGACGTCGACAACGTCATCCTGCTCAAGCTCGGCAAGCAGCTCGAGCGCTTCCTCACCATGGAGAGGACGAGTTTGAGGCGAGCCTGCTGAAGGAGGCCTCGCCCGAGGCGTCGACCGACGCCGAGACGTACCACTACATGCGCGCCGGAAACATGCTCCTCCGCTCGCAGCTCGACTGCTGGTCGCCGCGCATCAAGGGTGCCCGCAAGACGTTTGACCTCAAGACCCGCGCTGTCCGGCCCATCCGCCTCGACTGCCGCAACTACCGCGACCACGCCTCATACGAGCTCTCCTCGCTCCGTGGCCTGGTCGACTCATTTGAGCGCGAGTACTGGGACATGATGCGCTCGGCCTTTCTCAAGTACAACTTCCAGGTCCGCATCGGCAACATGGCCGGCATCTTCCTCGCCTACCACAACACGGCCAAGATCTTTGGCTTTGAGTACGTCCCGCTCTCGGACCTCGACGCCGCACTGTTTGGCAATTCGTACTACGGCGCCGTCGCCTTTGACAACTCCCTCAAGATTGTCGAGGGTGTCCTCGACCAGGTCCGCGCAGACTTTGGCACCGAGACTCCGCTCTCGCTCTTCCTCCATGCCAAACCTGGCCGGAGCCTCGAGTTCTTTGTCGCACCGCGGCCCGACGACCCGGGCTGGTCCGACTCGGATGCGCTGGATCCCAAGGCCATCCTCACGCCCACACGCTACACCGCCAAGCTCACCGTGCTGAGGGATATGGAGCCGGTCTTTGGCCCGCTCGACCTCATTCCAGGTCAGGCGCTCGACACCTTTATGTCCATCACCCGTGACGAGACCTCGCGCCCGTCCTCGATCAAGGCCGCCTTTGACGCTCTTGTCGACAACATGGTTGTGACCGAGGAGACCAAGCGGTCGCAGCGGTCGACGGCGCTCTCGCTCTCGCGCCGGGCGGCGTCGCGCAAGCGCCGCGCCGGTCAGGGCAAGGGCGGGGCAAGGGCCAAGGGCAAGGGCAAGGGCAAGGGTCAGGGCAAGGGCCAGGGCAAGGGCCAGGGCAAGGACCCGACCAGATCTTAAACTCGGCCGCAGTACATAGCTGCGGAGCGCGCCTAGGGCACCGGACGGCGACGCGCCAGGCAGGGCCAGAGCTTACACTCTCGCGGAGCAGCGGACTGTTCTTTTATCGACTCGGGGGGTGCATCAAGCGGCGGCGGCCTGCGGAGCGCCTCACGACGAGGCGTCCGGGCGGCGGCGCTTAAAGGTAAAGGCCGGGAAGGCCTGGAACTTGGCATCGGCGTCGGCGGCATCCTCGGCGGCAACCGCGTTGGGATCCTCCTCGTAGACGTCAAAGTAGCGGGTGTCGGTGTCGTCCGAGAGCTCGGGAACCCAGGGCGGCGAGGGCCCGGACTCGGTCCCGAGCGCCTTCCACGCGATCGAGTCGAAGAACTGGTGCGACTTGATCTCCGAAATGCCGCCCTTGCCGAGCCGGTCGGCGGGCTCCTTGAGGATCGAGGTGATGAGGTCCCATGCCTCGTGCGACATGTACGTGTAGATGTCGGGGAAGTTGAGGGTCACCTCGTGGTTGAAGATGTTGCGGAAGACAGCCTCGATGTCGTCGTCGGCAAACGGGGCAAAGCCGACAATCATCTCGAAGAGAATGGCGGCAAGAGCCCAGTAATCGACGGAAAAGTCGTAGCCCTCGCCACGGAGCATCTCGACAGCCATGTAGTCGGGCGAGCCAACGAGGGAAAAGGCGAGCTCGCGGGCGTTGCGCTTGATCGAGCCAAAGACGCGCTTGCGGGCGCCGATCGACCGCCGGTCGCCGTCCTTGGAGCTCGGCAGCATGCCACGCTTCATCGTCTGCGACTGGATGGTGAGCATGTTGCCCTTGGAGAGGCCAAAGTCGGTCAGCTTGATGTGTCCATTCGAGTCGATGAGGAAGTTCTCCGGCTTGAGGTCACGGTGGATGTAGCCGGCCTGGTGGAGAGCGTCGACGGAGAGGAACATCTCGGCAATGTAGAACCGCGCGTCAGCCTCGGAGAGCGTGTCCACAGCCGTCAGCCGCGTCCGCACGTCACCGCCGTGCACAAACTCCATCGCCATGTACACGTTGGCCGCGTCCTGGAACGAGTACACCATTTGCACCAGCCACCGCGACTGCTGGTTGGCGAGCACGTTGCGCTCCGTCCGCAGGTGCGTGATCTCCGTCTGCGACTTGAGAATCGCCGACTTCTTCATCTTCTTCAGCGCGAGCACCTCGGTCGTGTCCTTCTTGCGCACAAGATACACCTCACCATATCCACCCTTGCCCACCATCTTGATGAGGTCAAAGTCATGGAGCTTGATTCGCTTGCGCCTGCACCACATCCGATCCCTCCTGTGAGTCGCTGTTCCTCTGACCTCGCTCCTGCTCCTGCTGATGCCCTCCACCTCTGTCCACACAAAAATTGCCGCTCCAAGTCCGCACTGCCTGCCTACCCGACTGCCGCCACACGCAGGCAAGTCCAGTTGCTACAGAGCCACAAGAGGGGACATGGAGCGCGACCAAGTGCAACACATGCTACACTCTTGCATACGCCCACATCGCCTCACAGGCGATCTGGCCAGGCTTGCAGGAGGCCGCCGGGCAGGTGGCGGCACCAGTGCGGGCGACGCGTGCGGACGAACAAACGAGTCGCGATCAAGGGCGAGGGGAGGAGGAGCAAGCAACGTACCTCTGCCGCAAGAAGCGGCGCTCTGCAAGGGCAAACTCATCACGAGCAGCTTCTGCGGCAGCACCAGACAGCTCGCCAGAGTCGATGCGGTTCTGCAACTCTGTGTAGCGGTTGATACGGCCAACAACATACGAACCCGTTGCCGAGTAAAAGTCCTCAAAGAACTGGCGGGCGGCCGAGGCCTTCTCCAGACCCTCCTCCTGTAGAGACCAGCCATATGGGAATGGGGGGGGGGGGGGATGTAGAGTGCGGTGAGTATGTGACTGTAACATGGGGGATGCATGTGAGGTGCATTTTCTCCTTCTTCCACTGTGCCTACCTCGGCAGCAGATGACGATGCGGCCATGCTGGTGCTGGTTGTGAAGTGTGGTAAAACGTAGCCTTGCTGCTGTTCTGCGGAATGGTGGCTGCTCGAGTGGCTGGTGGTTGCGGGTGGGCGGCGGATCGGGTGGCAGGCCAGGGGGGAGGGGGGGGGGGGGGAGATCAAGGTCTGGCACGCACTGCTTGCTATGGACGAGAGCACTGATAAAAGGTATTGTTGCTGCACTACATGGAAGACTCGGTTGTGGGTCGGGTTGTGGCCGATCATGGTACGGTGCCGACGATGGCCAGGGGGGGGGGGGGGGATTTGGGTTGATTTACACACGCAGCGGCGGAGAGCAGAGAATGACACCGTCGCCACGAACAAAGAGCATGTCAAGCTTGCGGGTGGTTGTCGTGGGCTCCTGGTCGACCTCGTTGACGGTGATGGTCTCCTCCACGTCGGACAGCACCAAGTTGAGGTGCTGATCAAAGGCCTGCTCTCGCGAGCATGGTGAGCGTACGTGAGTCGCAGAAAGACAGTAGGCATGAAGAATGATAGAGGAAGGAGGGTGTGGTGGGGTGGGGGGGGGGGGGGGG